GACAGAATTTTGCTTAGGGCTGCTGGTTTGTGACTTCCAGATTAAATAATCTCTAAAGTCTAAGCTTTAAAATATGATTCTTGCTGATTATTGATGAGGTACAACTTACTCTGATTTGCTTTTCTTTCATATCTTAAAGAAATTTTCTTGAATATTTATGTGAATTATTAATAACAGAACCTCCTCTAGGAATTAATATACTTTTAAGTTTATTGGGGTAGATGGGGAAGATTAAAAGGCTACTTGCTCCTGGCTATGATGAGTAAAGTGTTGCCTTCCCAAGAACCTTCTAGTCCAACTGCTGTCTTTTAATGCTTTCTGCCATAAAAGGAACTGAAAGTGGATATGTTCTTCAACCCATTGTGGAGCCATATGTAATCTGTGTCTTTCCAGAGTGTGAATAGCAGCACATTAGTGGACTTTGGAACCAACTCAGTGCGTCTTGATCAGTATTAAAATGAGGGAGCTACATGAAGAGAGAGAGAGAGGGAGGGAAGGATGGGGAGAGAGGATGAATAAATGAGAATGAAAGAGAATACTATAGAGTAGAAAATGCATGCATTGCAAATAATAATGGTGGAATTGTTTTGTAGGATTTTTTTTCTTTTATATACGTATGTGTGTTTCAGGTTGCATTATAGAATGTATTTCTAACTGCTTGGTGAATAACAAATTTTGAAAGCACTGAGCTAGAGCGATTAAGTAGATCCTTGGTCATTCTTGCTCAGTATAAGATGATTTAATTTCTAAGCTGGAAATTTGAAAGGATTTTAGCATATGTTAATTGTTAATTACCTCTACACCTGCTCTTTTATTTTTCTATCTCTTGAACACTAGTAACTTTTCTCTCGTGTAGATCAGTCCTTTGATCCAATAATCACTTTTCAAGAAAACAGTGGCAGTGCTGAAGGGAGAGAGAATCATTACAAAATGGCAGGCCACCTGCCCTTGGAAAATAGGACAGAAATTCCATGGCTCAGGAAGGATGCTGAGAAGAGCAGTGAGCCAGGGGAAAGAGGGGGCAGTGTGTTACTAAATAGAACAACTAATGTAAGTTTAAAGACTTTGAAAAAGTACAGAGGAAGGTGGACCTAGGAATACTTTGGCTATGAAATGTCTTCTAGTAATAGATTTGTTTCTGTGGAACTGAGTGGAAAAAAATAAGGTTCTTGAGTAGATATGTGGAATGAAAAGCTGATTGTTTTTGTAAGCCAGTAAGTATTTTTGCTAGTATGTGGTTATTAGATAAACCATGAATTACCAGAAGTTAACATCACCCATGTGTCATATTTGTTTAATTGCATCCTCAAGAAATTGTATTCTGAAATTTAAAACTAAGTAGAGTCTATATTACTGTATGAGATTTGGATACTAGAGGGATACACACACCCTTATCTTAATAAGATTTTGCAGTAAGTCCTCACATAACGTTGTTGATAGGTTTTGTGACTTTAAGTGAAATGACCTGTAACAAAACCACTCTTACCATAGGCTAATTGATATAAACAAGTTAAATTCTATGATATTTCATCAACCTTATAATAAAACAATGTTGAACTAAATGCTATTCAAGGATCTTCTGTAATTACAAATGAAAATTTCTCTTTTAAAGTTTCCAGAAATGGTATAAAATTGTATTGATTTAAACCTTGTAAAAAATTTAAGGTTCGTCATAATGGTCACCTGATATTTAGGGGGCAAAATGCATGAAAAGCACTTAATATTTATATTAAATATTTGACATTATCTATTGAATCACTGAAAAGCACTATCTGACATCTTTATTCTGGGGAAGATTTATAGATATGTTATGAGCAGTTTAATAACTAAAACTGTCATCACTAGTTATAGGTTAAGCCTTGCAGGACATTTGGTCCTGTTCAAAACATCCTCCTAGACACTGGTCTACGCCTAAAGCTCTTTGATCCATGATAGTATTTTTTATGTATTAATCCTATAAACCAAAAGTATGAATAAACATGGGCTATTTGAACCCAAGGACATTTTCTAAGCATAGATGTTTTTGACAGGATTAAATATCGGGGACCATTTGGCATGGACCAAATGTGCTTACAGACTTTTTTAATAGGACCAGATTTTAAGGATGTTTTGGTGTAGGCCAAATGTCTCTGTGGCTGTTTGGGGCAGGACCAAATATCCTAATCTAGGTTAGAAGCTATTTCTATATACTGAAGTGAAAACCAGGCTTTGCAAATTACTTCAAAGATACGCTTTTTAAAAATTATGTTGAAAAGATAGAATTATTTTGGCCAGTGAATGTTCGTTTGTTTAGCTCTCTATGAACAAATATTTTAGAGAGCAAACGCCAAAGAATAACTGGACAGAGACAGAACATTTTTTTCCTTGTTTCTATTACTAGTGTAAAAATGGTAGGACCGACTTTATGGATATTTTCTCTCACTGATAATAGAAGTTATAGATAGTGGGTCCAATATCCAGGCACAAATACACACATTTGGAGGCTATTGCATTCTTTCCATTAAAAGTGATTTTTTGCTCTTATTTCTTGTTATTATTTTACTTTAGGTCATGTAATTTTTAAAGATTTTATGGATTTTTAGAAGATTATTATTTATGATTCAATTGATTTTCTGTAAATGCAGTAATAAAGTGATGCTGTGTAACTGTAATCTCTTTGATTACTTAAGGACCAATATATAGGAAATAAATGTGTTAGCAAGAATGGATTATTAAAACATTAATTCACTAAAAGTACCTAATATAGTTGGGCTAAAACTTCCAATACTGCAAGGTAATGATTTATGATTTCAGATCCATGAAAGCTAGATACGTTTTTAATGTCCTTATGTGGAAACTGTTAATTTCTGATTAGCATAACATTTCAGAGAAAAGAGTTGACATGTTACACACTTAGAAAAATACTTGGAAAGAAAGTAAGCGTAAATAATTTGCCCAGACTACCTTAGTGCCTTGAACACTATTTTGCACCTGGGTTGCGTTTATATATTTCTATGCCTATTACTTTCCTAGACCCTAAGCTCCTAGAGAAGGGAAGCTTGGTCTTAACCATCTCTGTATTTCTAGCCTAGTGTAGCTTCTAGAACATGAATCTAGTTTTTCTCCAGATGAAGTCATGGGTCACCTGAATCAGATTCATCTGGGGTCTTTTGTTAACAATTCACATCATCAGGACACACTTGTAGATTTACTAAATAAGACTCCAGAGGTGAGCGCCAGTCGAAGAGGATAAGTACATGTAATGGCATTGATAAATCAAGGATAGAAACCAAGGCCTCCAGACCTTGCCCTCCACACGCTTACTAAAATGCTTATTACCTCCTGGATGAACTTTTATTGGGTATCTACTGAATTCCAGTTACTCTGGTTATAAAGATAAATGTAGCTCATGGACAGTTAAAAGCAGAAACTGTTGAGTTAGAAAGGTTTGGTTTGAATCAGCCTTATCTGACTACTAACCATGAATTTCAGCAAGTTAACTTCTCTAAGCCCGTTTACTCTTTTGTAAAATAGAAATAATACCTGTGTTATCAGATTGATGTTAATTTGATGAGTTTTATTTTTGTTTTTAAATGCCTGCAAGTCTACAGCCATGCTACCCTGAACAAGCCTAATCCTGTCTGATCTCAGAAACTAAACAGGGTCGGGCCTGGTTAGTACTTGGACGGGAGACCACCTAGAAAGATCAGGTGCTGTAGGCATAAAAAAATAATAAAAAGATAAGGGATTGTAAGCTGACAAGGTCCTTGCAATCTGTGAGGTCAACCAAGGGTTGCCTTGCCTAAAAAAAAAGAAACGCCTATAGTACCTGGGCTTCCTAGGTGGTCTCCCATCCAAGTACTAACCAGGCCTGACCCTGCTTAGTTTTCAAGATCAGATGAGATCAGGCACATTCAGAGTGGCCTGGCCATAGACTGATGTTATAATATTAAGATAATGCATGTAAAGTGCTTTGCAAAGTGCTTAGAATACCGTGTGCTTTTAATAAATATTAGAGTTTTTTCTTTTTTATTTTTTTTAGTTAATAAGCTTACATTGTAGGCAGGGCTGAATTTTTTGGAAAAAAAGAAAACCTCGGAAATAAGGAAAATAAGGAAGAGATCGTATAAGAGTTAGATTTTATTTTATAACAAACCACCCCAAGACTTGATGATGTAACATTTATTGACTCACAGTTTGGTTCGTTGGCAGTTTGGGCTGAGCTCTGTTGGGACAGTTCATCTCTGCTCTAGATTATGTTATCTGAGCACACTCAGGTGTTAGAAGTCAGATGGAAGTCAGTGGCCTCACCCATATGTTGACAGGAGCCAAGAAGTGAGTGGGTCATGTGTATTCATCATCTAGTAGACCACCCTGGGCTCACGCACATGGTAGTGGCCACAGGGTTCTCAAGAGCAGTGGGAGTCCCATGAGCAAGCACTTTTCAAGTCTCTGCTTGTGTCATGTTTAGTGTTTTGTTAGCCAAAGAAAGGCACTTGCTCAAGTCCAGATTCAATGGGTAGAGAAAGACTCCACCACTTGATGGGTAAAGGGATATGCATACAGGGAAGGAAAGAATTTGTGGCCATTTTTGTAATCTGCACAAAGAGTTTCATTGACTGCCTACTCTATATCAGGCTTTACACTGCAGGACTTACGTGGTATTCATTTAGTCCTCACAGTTTCCTGAAATGTAGCATTCCTGTTTCAAACATGAGAAAACTGATGATCAGATTACTTAGAAACTTGTACACATTTGCCCAAATTATTTGCTTCAAGTTATGGAATGGCATTTTAGATGCTGTCTCTTGTTGATTAGATTATCATATGATCAGCCAAAGATTTTTGGTTAAAATGGAGTTCTAGTTACTAGTTTGTTTTCCCATTTGTACCTTGAATCATTGAGTCATATTTATTTGGTACAGAAAAAAAATTTTCATTTTACTATCCTAAATATTCTTTAAGACTTTCCAGAAACTTATGAGGAATTTTAGTGGACTGAGTTTATTTTTTTTTGCCAGATCACCTACACAACCTGGATCTCACCACATTTTGGATATGACTGAACCTCTTCAATGGGCCCGATGTCACTGGCAACGGCTGATGGGCAGTACAAACAGGGATGACAATGAGAGGCCATACAACTATTCCTCGCTGCTTGCCTGCGGGTGCAAGTCCTCTCAGACCCCCAAACTGGCAGGAAAGCACAGGGTGGTGGTTCCTCACCTCCAGCACTTCAAGGAAGACTATGAAAAGTTCTCTGGAACCTACGTGAATAATCGAATACGAACTACAAAGTACACACTTCTGAATTTTGTGCCAAGAAATTTATTTGAACAATTTCACAGGTACTTTTATTTTTTGAAAAAAAAAATTATATATATTTTTCTTTTACATGTACTTATTTATTTATTTATTCATTCATTTATTTATAGAAATGATTAAAATTTTTCCCTCGTCCTTCTAGTTGATACAGAAGATTTTTCATAACATTGTATATTACCTAAGCCTAAGACTTGTGACATAATTAATCTTTGATGATTCTAGTGGAGTCTTGTAGAATGATGACCCCCTACATTCACATAGCACTTTATCATTGGTAAGATGTTTTCTCTTGACCGGAGAAGATATTATTATCCTCATTATATATTAGGAAACTAAGTTTGACACTACAATTTAGCCAGTGCTATGCCAGTGATAAGTAGCAGCCAAAGGCTATAGCCTTGAGTCTTCTCACTCTTGCTTTTACGTTCTTTCCACTAAACCACATTGCATTTTAATTTTAGCTTGTCCTTACTTGATATTATGGAGAAGTAGAGCTCTGAAGAAAATGCAAATGTAAGAAGTTATTAGGTGAAACAACAATATAATTCAGCCTAAAATGTATTTATTGAAGCTCTCCTATGAATTTAAGCACTGAAGGAAATGCAAGTCTAAATGGTGCTTCTTATGGACTTTGTTGTTTAGCAAGAGAAATAGGATGTGTATACAAACAACGAAAAGACCTAGTAGGTGTGACGAGCATTATAAAATGCTTCCAAGTAGAATGGAAGCCTCAAAAAGAGAAGTAATAATAGCTAGAGCAATAGAAGAGGAAGTGGCATTTGAACTTAATTATAGAGGGTGAGTGAGATTTTCAAGGCAGAGATGTCATTTCACATGGAGGAAGGAGTATGAGTAAAAGCAGAAAGGCAGTAGCGCAGGTTTGCTTGCAGTCTGGGAAGTAGTCCTCGCCTTCCCCCTAGTACAATGAGAGGCAAATGGAAGGCAGAGAGAACATTTAGAAAGGTACTGTGTATGTCCTGGTGAGTAGTAATGGAGACCTGAGCATAGATCAATGTGGGAATGAAAAGAAGGATAATCTATCATAGATACTATGGATTAGTCATGGGGAATTAAGTAACAAGATGATGTGACCCTGTTGAGGAGAGATGACCAGGAGGATTAACGGATAAAGACAGAAATAGAAAGAAGCTTCACTGGAAGATTATTTTGTTTTTGTAAATGTTGAAATTGAGATGCTAGTGTGAGTATAGAGATTCTCATTAGTCATTATTCATTCTTATTATTCACTCTGTATATGTTCTATATGCACTTACTGAACAGTGGATATGTTTATAAATGTGAATTTGTTGAATTAATACCTTTAAATGCTATGGGTGTTTCTATCTTTTATGGAGTTTGCAATCTATTACACTTCATGGAATTCAAATCTGAAACTTGAAGATTTCAGAGCCAGCATTGTAGGTTTGAATGCAGTCCACATGGAAATAATTGAAGCCAAAAAAGTAGCAAAAAGTTGTTAAGAAAGAAATTTTCAGAGTAAAAAGGAGTTGGAGGTGAAGAATGAGAAATGTGTATAGATTTTGAGAAGTTTGATGGTAACAGGAAAAATATGTTACCATATTTTTCAAGGGCTATGCAGCATCGAGATTTTGTTTTCTAAGGAAAGAGGCCACTTGAATTCACCTTAGGGGCCAGTGGATGAGTACTTAATGTATAAAATAGAGGAATGGAGGAAGAGTTCCTGAAAAAGTAGTTCTCAATAGCATAAAAGCAGACATTGAAAGTTTGGTCTCAAGGGCAGGAAAAACCCCTCATTCTTTTCTACTTACGTTGAGCCTTGTTTGAATGTGACCTTTCGACATACAAATTAACTTCTGAAGGCTAGACTTTTGGGTTACTTAAAAGTTTATTTTTACAGTGCATTAACACTGAATTTCTTCTAAATTTTTTGATCTTTTAAAAAGAAAATAGTATTTTCTATTATGCTTTTATATCATATGTTACAAAACTCAAGACTGTCACCTTCCAATATTTACTATGATGTATTTAATAAATAATACCTCTTATTTATTAAAGTATGCCTTGAGCTAGATATCTACAGGAGTAATAAATTGTTCGTTCAGATATGATTTTGCTAGTTCTCTATTTCGTAGCATCCAAAATCAACTAATAGAAACTTGTAGGAAAGCACTCTAAAGATATTTTGCCTCTTTCAATTTAGGCATTTATGTGATTTGTTAACACCTCTTTATATGTGTTTGGATTGTAGAGCGGCCAATTTATATTTCCTGTTTCTAGTCGTTCTGAACTGGGTGCCTTTGGTAGAAGCCTTCCAAAAGGAAATTACGATGCTGCCTCTGGTGGTGGTCCTTACAATTATCGCAATTAAAGATGGCTTGGAAGATTACCGAAAATACAAAATTGACAAACAGATCAACAATTTAGTAACTAAAGTTTACAGTAGGTGAGTATAACAGGAACTGAGTTAGAGAAAACACGTGTGTCATTTAGAAATATGCAGGATGTTACTGTTTTCCCCTTAGATGTAACCAGGACCCTTTTTATGGTGGCAATAGTGCTGATTTCAACTAATATTTATAGAAGACCTACAGTGAATTTAATCCAGGTATCATAGGATTACAAGAGTACATATAGCCATTATCAACCCAGAAGCTGATAAAGCAAAAGATTCTATAACTTACATGTAAGTGGAATTGAAAGAATTAAACTTCAGACTATAAGAAGGAAAGCAAGCAGATAGTTTTTAATCCTAGATGTTAGAGTTTGGGATTAGAAGAGGATGGGGTATGAAAAATGTGAATGGATATTAAAAATAAGATGGAATATGAAAAAAGAGCTAACTATGGAGAAAAAGGTTTCTGAAAAATGGAGAAGAATATTCTTTTTGGGCACCAAACTAGAGCCAATAAAAACCTTCCCACTGCAGCAACAACATAGAGTATTCGTAATAGGAGGTCTTTTTAGAAGCATATTTGCTCTGGTGGAGACTTTTATTTACAATATTTATGAAACAGAAAGCCTGCATTGCCAAGAATCAAGTCTGATAAGGTGAGTTTTGAACTGTGTTATGTATTATATGCCTACATTTATGAATTATACCTGCAACGCTAGTGTCCAGAGGCAATTGTTTATAACACTGGTGTGTTCTGTGCACATTGTGTGGGTGTATTTTTACAAAATTGAGATTGTACTACACATATTGTTTTTCTAATTCTTTCAGCCTAATATTACACTATAAATACTTCCCATGTCTTTATCCTTCAAGAAAATATTTTTAACAGCTACATTGCCATATGACTCTAAGGTAATTTATTTAAATATTTCTCATATTATATAATTTTGAGAATTTATGCTTCAGTGGGTATTTTTATATAAAAGTTTTGAAGATTTATTATTATTTTAACATTTAAATCATTATATAGAATTACTAGATCAAAGAGGAGGAATATATTTAAGTCTTTGTGGCTTTTATGAAAAATGAATTACAGAATTTATAATGTTAATTTTCTGGAATTCTCTTTTATAAGAAATGTATCTACTTTTTAAGAATCACTAGAACAGATTGGTGAAATTCTGAATCTAATATGTTAATTGCTTTAGAAACAGGCTTATGGTGTCATTTTCATTTCAAAGGTTGGAAGGTTTATGGAATATTCTGGGATAGTGAGTATATTAAGTTGGCCTGGGGAGGGGAGTAACCAAATAAAGGAGCAGTAATGAGAAATAAAAAGTTAAAAAGGGAGTTTGAGACTTACCTGGAGGGACTTTATCACCAGGACATTGATTAGTCGGGATTCTCCAGAGAAACAGAACCAATAGGAATGAGATTGATTTTGAGGAATTGTGTCATGGGATTGTGGAGGTTAAGAAGTCCTACCATCTGCAAGCTAGGTTCCCAGGAGGGTTGGCAGTGTTGTTTGAAAGCCTGAGAGCTAGAGAGCTGAAGATGTGGATTTCAGTCCAAGTCTGAAGGCCTGAAAACCAGGAGTGCTGCGGTCAGAAGGTTAGTATCCCAGTTCAACAGTCAGGCAAAGAGAAAATTCAGCCTTCCTCTGCCTTTTGTTGTTTTCAGGCCCTCAGTGGATTGGGTGATGCCCACCGGATGGCCATCTGCTTTACTCAATTCATCAGTTCAAATGCTAATTTCTTCCAGAAACACCCTCACAGACACACTTAGAAATACTGTTTAGCCAGATAGCTGAACACACCCTATGGCCCAGTGAGGGTGATCCATGACATTAACCATCCTAGATATGTTCCTTTAGAGTTAAGGAATCCATCTTTTCAGCAAAGAAGTATGTGGTAAAAGCTGTGCTTTAGGAATATTGGTCTCCTTGAGTCATGGGAATAGCCTCTGCTAATAAAGTAGATCTTTTTATGCTAATGAATCCAGGATACTACTGGAAGTAAAAGCAAACTACGGGACAGGATTCATGGAAGAGGTATTGTGAAGAAGAACCTAATTGAATTTGGTGAACTGTGATTTGAGCTTTGAAGGATAAGTGTACCACTAATAGAAATAAGGGGCATTAAATTCAGAATAAATTGGAGATGATAGCAAGACAGGCATCCAAGTGCAAATGCCCAGTGGGCAAATACGAGCACTGCAGAACCTCTGGAAAGAAGGAAAGGCTACAGAGAGAAATTTCAAAGTTATCAATCCCTTTAGAGGTGATTTTAAAGTTAGAATATTCTCCCCAGGTGAGAAAATATGAAGAGCTAAAAGATAGCTTTGAGCCCAAAGGTGGGTACCCATTTCAGTCTGTGAAAAGACTTCACAGGTTCTTGTGGACATATGCTGTCACTCTTCCTTCTGAGATCCCAAAGCATTTGGTATATTTCTTGGGTTGACTTTAGTGCTCTTATGTAGACTCTCAGTTCATAATATAGTAATTCTAAATTTGTCAGACTAGAGTCTGTTCCATTCTAGTTACCAGTTCACAATAAAAGATATCTAGGTTCAAAAGTCTTATAATAGTAAACAGAAGTATATTCTGAACAAATGTAAGGGTCTTTTGACTGACCAAGAGTTCAACTAGGGGACATACTTTTTGTTTTGGGAGAAAAATGACTTGAAGGCTTGTTCTGGTGGTAGAGTTGTCTTCATTTTATGTGAGCAAATGGTTAGGGAAGGCTTCTCTGAAGAAGTGATGTTTAAGCTGAAACCTGTAGGATTCTGAACTTTGTTCATTGTTAGAATTCTTCAGTGGGTTTCTCAACTTTTGTTTTAAAATATCTATAAAGAGAATAAAATAACTTTTCTCCTTTGTAAGGTTATGTGAGCTGTATTTAGATAAGGAAATATTAGTTCTATTTTTTTTTCTTTATAGTCAGGAGTAATCTATACTCATGTCTAGTCTTATACTCATGTCTAACTAGGAAAAAAAATTGTAATATTGTATAGAAAAATGAAAATAATAGTAAAGGCCCATGGTTTTCATTTTAAAGTCATAGAGCATTTTACTAAAACAGTGCTATGAATCATTTGATGACATTTAAGGCCTTATCACATACCAAGGTTAGAGAGTTGAAATGTTGATGCAGTCTCGCCATCAAAAAATACCTGTAGGAAGTAATATTTTACAGTGATTATATAATGAACAAAATCAAGATTACCCAGCTAATGCCAGATTTAGCAAATGGAAAGAATGCTTCTTATATGTATTTAAATATAAATTATTGTATATAAATAATTGCTGATTTTTTTGGTACTTTAGAGTTAATAATGTGTGTTTGTTTGCTTTCCTAGATTGTTCTAAAAATTCTAATTCTGATTCTCTCACTTAGTAGCTGTGTAGCCTTGGGCAAATTATGGAAGCTAGTTAAACCCCATTCCCTTCATTATGAATATAATAGTAAGAACACAAGCATAGTGCCTAACCCTTTCCCAGTGCTAAGTAAAGGTTAGCCATTATGACGATTATTGTAGGTTAATAATAACTATTCGCTATAACTTATGTTTGTCACATTATCAAGTCATTTCATCAATATTTGAGAACCCCTAGAACACTGTATGATTATATAAATATTAAAATTGCCTAATGGGGCCTAGTATAATTTTTTTCTTGGATGTCATTTTTAGATATAGTCCAGATATATTTTATATGATTTGTATATACACTTAGAGATGTATATTCTAATCAATTATTCAGTTTAAAGCTTGTTTCGAGGTACCATTTTATAATTGTATTTCATAATAGAATCGGGTAATTGTTTTTTCATGTATGTTCTATGTAATTTGCTTTCGTTTGGTGTCGTAGGAGAAATAATGCTTACCTTTCCCCCCAAAATTGTTCTTGGAATAAATTTACAAGGATATAGAAAAATTAAGGTAGGATGCAAGACCATGCCTGTTGATTTAAGTATGCTAACTTAAATTTCTATGAAATACAAAGAAATCACTTTAGAGTGATTATTGCTCAGTGAAATTAAGATGAAAGTATGAGGCAATTAAATTTGCAAGCTTGTGGAAGAGTTATATTAACATTGCTATGTAGATAATTTGGTGCTTATTTTTAATACGTGGTCTTTTACAAGGTGCTTAATTTTCTTTGGGAAGGTATCATTGGGAAATAAACACTAAGAAATTAAACGCTTAAACCTGTTACACTCCATTTAACTTTGAATGAAATATTATAGAAAACTTGACTTTATTAAAATTGCCTTTAAAATATCAGCCATTTGTAAGGTTTTAAGGTTTGTTTCAGGATTATAGAAGTGTATTAAAAACGAAACTATCAATCATTCAAAAAATTTGAGTGCCTACTGAGAGATTTAGAGATTTAAACAAAAAGTAGATATAATGCCAGCCCTTCAGATATGTACATTCTTTTCTAATCTCTAAGGACCACCACGTTGATGTTAGGAGTTTCAAAATACTAGCTAAAATTAACATTTTAGGATTATCTCATAAACCCGTAGAATTTCATGATTCTTGAAATGAGGCTGTCAGTGGCCTTATGAATTAATTAACTTTATGTGTGACATCTTCCAAAGCAATGGTTCTTTGTTTTATAATTTTGTTAAATTTATTGGAGTGACATTGGTTAATATAATTATATGTTTCAAGGGCACACTTCTATAATACACCATCTGTATATTGCATTGTGTATTCACCACCCAAAGTCAAGTTGCCTTCTGTCCCTGAATATTTGACCCCCTTTACCCTCTTCTACCTCTCCCAACCCCTCTTCTGCGGTAACCAACCACTATATTGTTGTCTGTGTCTACGAGTTTTTTGTTAGTTTGTTTTGTTTGTTCGTTTGTTGCCTTCTGTTTTATATCCCACATATGAGCGAAAGCATATGGTCCTTGACTTTTTCTTTAATTTATTTTTTTAAATACATTTACTTATGTAAATTAATTTCAAGTATATAGTACATTGGTTAGACATCTATATTGTTCATAAAACGATTCCCCCAATTGCTCCCTCCCTCCCCTGAC